CTTCCTTTCCCTCTGCCTATTTCCAACTCCCTGTCAGGTCTCCTAGAATTGATCTCTCAGGAGAGAAGCTGCCTGGGGCAAACTCCTGGCTCTTTCCTGGGAGTGCAGTTCCAGAAGGCTCCTTCATTCCTGTCATTTCCTCATGGGGAGGCCATCTAGAGTCCCAGCCATTGGTCCCTGAGCATTCCCATGGCCTGCTTTCCGATGGCCCTCCTGGGATGGGCTCTTCCCAGCCCACTTAGGTGAATGGGGCTGCTTTTGCAGTTCCCACAGGCTTTGGGCTATGTCAATGTGAGCTTACTGTGGACTAGATCTCAGTCAACCTGTGGCTAAGGTTGTCCTGGCTGCTGGGTGAACATGGGGGATGTAGGGAGAGAAGGGCCAGAACTGACAGCTGATCTGTGATTGTAGGGAGCAGGTGACTTCCCTGGAGGGCACCCTCTAGATGCCGGTGCAGAGCTGAGCACCTCACACCCCACAAATGCAGATATTCTACCAGGTTAAGAGCGCTTTTCCATTAGCACCAAGTGCTATGAAGGCATCCGAATTGAAGAGACGAAGACCAAAAACGCCCCCCTCCGTCTTCTGAGTTGGGACAGTGCTTGAAGCAGGAATTGTTAGAAACTATGAAAATCAGCATGCTTTAGAATCACCTTCAGCCAAGGAGATCTGTCAGAGAGAGATGCACGGCAGAAAAGTATCTTTCCATATAGACAAACAGAGGACAGCTTTGTGAAGATCTAGGTTAACCTCATCTCGGGAAGAACAAAATAGAGGCTTCCCCCTCTTATCCAGAACTGTGTGGCCTTCTTTTCCTCTGAGTAATTAAAACACATTTTTATTACATTTATTTCTTTGTATATACATGTGGGTGCACGTGTGGATGTCAACTTTGGGGAGTAGGGACTTTTCTTCCACTGTAGACCAGGGGATTGAATTCAGGTCATTAGGCTTGGCAGCAAGTGGTTTTACCCACCAAACTATCTCACTGGCTTCTCTGAGTACTTTTTAACCTTGTAGGTCAGTCTCAAAATGGACCTAATTCTTTTAAAATTATTTATTTTTATTTTATGTGTATGAGTGCTTTGCCTGCATTATATAAGTGTACCATGTGTGTGTAATACCCCATAGAGGCCAGAAGAGAGTGTCAGTTCTCCTGGAACTGGAGTTATGGATAGTTGTTAGCTGCCATGTGGGTACTGGGAATTGAACCCAGGTCCTCTGGAAGAACATCAAGTGTTCTTAACTGCTGAGCAATCTCTCCAGTCCCATCAAAATGGGCCTAACTCTAATGAGCACCAACCAGGTACAAACATAGACACTAAGATCACGTGCCTTAGAAGAAGATGGAAAAAATTCAAACCTGTCATTTATCTCAGCTGTGTGACTTAGGGACCTTAATCTGAACCCTGTTTTTCCATCTATAAATCTGGAGTAAGGTTAGTTTGGGAAGAAAGGGTTTAGCAGCTCACATGTAACCCATTTTCTGTTTCTTGGGATAGGGAGAGGGGAACCAAAAGGAAAAAATGACCGGGTCGTTTCTCTACTCAGTGTGACAATTCAACTTCAGAATGGTACTTATGAGCAGGAGGATAAGAGAGCAGCCAACGGGCACAGCGCTGCTTGTGGGAGGTACTCAGTCTAATGTCAGAGTGGGGAGTTGGGGAATTGCCCACCGGAGAGGTCAGCTATGTGGTTATCAGTGTGAAATGAATAAAGTGACTTTCTCATGCTGCAGAACAGCTGCCTGACTCTTCTAGATATCTTGTGTGCATGGACCACGGTGCACACTCAGACAGTAGGGAAGACCTGGGAGGCTGTCTTGACGGCTGCATCCCTCACCATGTCCTGTGACTATTCATAAAGTTTACTTCTAGCTGAGATCTTGGGTTCTTGGATTTCCGTTGGACATTCTCACACTGTATTAACTTATATTCACATAGTGTACTGGATAGTATTAATTTGTCAACTTGAAACAAACCAGAGTCGCCTGGGAAAAAGGATCCTCAACTGAGGGATTTCTTAGATCAGACTGGCCTATGGGCATGTTGGTGGGGCATTTTCTTGACTGATAATTGATGTGGGAGGCCCAGTCATGGCCCCGCCACTGTGGGCAGCACTGCTCTTAGCAGGTGGTCGGGGTTGTATAATAAAAGTAGCTAACAAGGCCCTGACAGCAATCCAATAAGCAGTGTTCCTTCACGGTCTCTGCTTCAGTTCCTGCCTCCAGGTTCCTGCCTTGAGTTCCTGCCCTGGCTTTCCTTGATGATGGACTATAACCTATAAATGAAATGAAGCCATTCCTCCCAAAGTTGTTTTTGGTCATGGTGTTTATCACAGCAACAGAAAGAAAACCAGAATACATGGCATGTTTATGGGAGTTGAAACCTTTAGAACAGGGCGTGACACATAGGACAAGATCTGTAAATGCTGTCTGAACCTGGAAACTACAGGAAGCTACAACACGCACTGGGTTTACCCTCCTGCCAGTTCAGCGCCCTGCCCAGGAGGCGCCCCCTTCCTCCTCTGGCCACTCTGAACACCCTGCCAGCAAGCTGTGGATCTGTGCACATGCATGGGTGTCCCTTGTGTCTCCCCAGTCATCTCACACCCCCCTTTTCCATCTTTTCACAACTCCTTGATACTTGGGATGGAAACAAGCATTTTCTACCCATCACAAGTGGGGCAGAACCAACATGACAGCCCTAGTCTTTAGAGGGCTGTAGAGACAGCTCAATAGTTAAGAGCATTGGCTGTTCTTGCAGAAGACCCAGGTTCAATTCCCAGCACTCACATGCTGGCTAACAATGGTCCATTAACTCCAGTTCCAGGGGATCCAGTCCCTCTTTTGGCTTCTGTGGGCTTTGCACAACATGAGTACACTTACATGTAGGTAATACACTCATACACATAAAATAATAAATATTTAAAAGAAAAAAAAAGAATACCAGATGTGGTGGTGCACGCCTTTAATCCCAGCACTTGAGCGGCAGAGGCAGGCAGATCTCTGAGAGTTCAAGGTCAGCTTGGTCTACATAATTAGCTCCAGACCAGCTGGGGCTATAGGGAAACCCCATCTCAAAAAGACCAAAAAAAAAATTTTTTTTTAAAGAAATCTAGTCTTTGCTGAGGAGATGGTTCAGTGGTTAAGAGCACTGACTGTTCTTGCAGAAGACCCAGGTTTGAATTCCAGCACCTACGTGCCAGCTAACAAGTGTCTATAATTCCAGTTCCAGGGAATCTGACGCCCTCTTCTGACCTCCACAGGCATTGCATGACATGCACTTATATATATATATATATGCAAGCAATATATACACATAAAATAAAAATAATAAATTCTTTTTTTAAAAAAAGAAACCTAGTCTTAATTTTCACACACACACACACACACACACACACACACACACACACACACTGAGACAGGGTCTCAAAAGGCTGGCCTTGAACTTCTGATCCTCCTGCCTCCACATGCTGGGATTGCAGGCAGGCATCACCACACCCAGTTTAGGAGATGCTGGGGATGGAACCTGGGGTCCAGCACTTTGGGCAAGTACTCTACTGAAGGAGCCCAGTCCACAAATTCAGTGTCCTCACCAACATGGAAATCAAACTAAGAATGGTATGAAGAGGGTGTGCAGCCATGTTGGATGCGGCCCTGAACCCGCCCTTCAGTCCCACCATGGGCTTTATGGAAGCTCTGACTGGATACAGACAGGCCAGGCAATGATAAAGCCATTAGTTGACAGCACGCCATCTTACAGATGGGGAAACTGAGGCACAAGATGATGAACGACTTTCCCAATGATCCATGGCTAGGAAATAGCAGAGCTGGGTTGACAATGCATCCTGGGTAAACCAAGGTTCTACCCCATCCAGGCTCCACACTCGGCCGGCATGGTGTACGGTGATGCTTAGGGACTGGGCCTGTGGCCAGGCAACCTTCCCCTGCTTCTCACTGAGAATAGGCTTCCCCAGTGCTGCCGGAGCCCTGAACGAGTTAACACTCTCAAGTTCCTAGACTACAGCACACTGCCAGTGACTCATTCATTCTACCCAACACAACCAGGGCACCTTCCATGGCAACTATCTCCAAGGCACAGATGTACTGTGACTATCTTTCATCCATCGCAAGCCAGTCCTCAGCCTGGCACAAGAACTCAGGTTCATTGTTACTGTGTTCTTGTACATTACCATCCACTGGTCTACGGGTTGTTGGAAAAAAAATGAAATACCTTGATGAATGCTGTAAGAACTCTGCATTTTGATAGAAAACTCTGTTTAAAATGTTGATTTAGATTTACTTGCTAAGCTTGCCTATTCTGCCTGATTGTATCTACCACACATGGATGATTAACCTAGTTGAAATGCTAAGAATTGAAGTGCTGTAAACCTCCTTCCTGGACCCTGGACCCCAGACTCAGTTGATTTACAATGTGTCCTGTAGGCCTGTTTGCACATACCAGATAACCGATAAGGAACAAAGAGAGGGAAGTTGCACCAGGCTTACACCAGATCTAGCCTTCCTGGAAAAGATGTTTAACCGAAACTATAGCTTTTAGAAGATGTTTGATCAAAGTGTATGCTGAGGAATGCTTTTTGTGTAATGACTATGTGAGCCTATATAATCTGTACCTAAAACTGAATGGGGGTCGATCGTTCTGACCAGACTTGCATGACTTGGGAAGCCGGTCGACCCCAGCTAGCTGGAAAAGTAAAGACTCTGCTTGATTTTTACATCTCCAATCCCGTGTATTTGTTATCTGGAGGGGACCCATCGAGTCACGGACCCTAACAGGGTTAGTGCTGTACCTGCCCTCTGGGGAGAATGGAGGCAGACTAGAGCACCAGTGCGCTACAATGGAACAGGGGCATGCTCTCAAAACCCCACTAGGCTTTGCTTCTTCCTGAGCCCTGAGCTTCCCATCCAACCAAGGAGAGCATCTCACATGGTGGGTCCATGAGCCCTGGGGCCAGGCATGTGACAGGAGGGTCTTTACCTGGGCCACTGCAGAAGGAGGCGATGATAGCCAGGATGCACACAATGCTCAGGTAAGGGACCCAGGGGGCATGGTCCTGTGGAGAAGGGTAACATGGACAGGTGAGGAGGCAGCTTACCCAGGGGACCTGGGTTCCTTCCCAGCCCCTCCTAGTGTTCCTGAGCCCTAGTTGCAGCATCTCTAACATGGGGGACATGGAAACCACTTAGTCATTATATCCACTGACTGCCCAGATGGTGGGGATACAACAGATGGTGGGGATGCCTACCACAGTCCCTGGTGGGCAGAATGTGGTAAATGAACACACAACTCACGGTGCTAAGTGCTTTGTTTGAAGCTAGGCATAGGAGAGGTTTTTCAGGTATGATCACATGATTCTCAGTTATCACTCTTACTGTGCAAAGCAAATGTCTGCAGTGCTGCCACCCTGCGAGGTGTGGGGTTAATCACGCCAGCATCCTGAGGGACTGTTGTTCATCTGGCAGGAGAAGAGCACTACAGGCAAGAGTTGAGAAAGCTGTGAGACCCTGTGGTGTGGGGCTTAGAAGGGGAGGGATGCTTGAGGCAGTCCTTAAGGACGCCGCGGAAAAAGAGCACAGTGGAGCAATGACCACTCCTCCCCTCAGAACCTCTAAGGGCCAAGGAGACTGCAAAGTCACCCAGCTCAGGGCGACCCTGTGCCTGGACAAGGCAACGATCCCAGCCCAGGTGCCTGTGAGGAAGGGGTCAGCTCTGCACGGCCTCTGAAGGACCAGCGTCTGTTCATCACACACACCATGTTACCCTTGCCTCTTTCCAGAACTGTTTTGAATGTTAGGATGGATATCTGGCAGAGGACCAGTGTGATGACTGATCTTGGTTGTCAGCTCAACTGGATCTGGAATTATGAGGGACTTTATTTCTTCAATAACTAAAGATGAAGGACTATCAGGGATTTTCTTTCTTTCTTTATTATTTTTACTTTATGAGTGTACTGCCTCCATGTATGCATATGTAGGTGTACCCATGTCATGCAATGCCTGCGAAGGTCAGAAGAGGGCATTAGATTCCCTGGAACTAGAGTTACAGATGGTTGTTAGCTGCCATGTGGTTGCTGAGAATCGAACCTGGGCCTTCTTCAAAAACAGCCAGTGCTTTTAACTGATGAGCCATCTCTCCAGCCCCAAGACTTTCTTGATTAGATTATTTGAAGCCAGAAGACCCACCCTAAATGTGGGCTCTATGTTCTGGTGGCAACCCATGTAAAAGGACATGGTAGAAGGAGCACTTGGTTTTTGCTGGATTACCTTCTCTCTCACTGGTGAGTTCATCTATCTTGTCACTGTGGCATTCATTCCTTTGCACATATAGAACTAACTTCTTTGTGTTCCAATATAGACAGAAGGCCAGAAGCTCTCCAGGAATCTTTCAGGCCATCAGTACCAAATTGGGAGTGCTGAGACGTCCAGCCTCAGGGGCTGAGCAACTATTTCCAGTGTGGCACTGCCATTGTTGGACTACACGGACCTTACAGTGTAAGTCAAATAAGCCCTTTCCTCCCCAAGCTGATTTTGGTCAGAAGGTTTTCTCACAGCAATGGGAAGCTAACTGAGACAACCAAGATGCCCAACTTTCTATTTCAAGATTTATTCTTGAAAACTAACAAGATTTATTGATTGTGATACCCAGTAGATGCACGCTGAGTATGGTTTCTCTGAGCACAGCAGGACACAGAAAGGAAAGACTTGGGGCCTGTAACCAAGATCCTGGGTCCAGGCCTGGCTCTGCCACAACCTAACTGTTAAACCTTGATCACTTGTATTTATGACTCAGACTTCCTCTCCATAAAAGGAGGCAATCTGAATTTTGTATGGAGAATGGACAAGGCTGGCCCCCTCCACCTAAACACACTCTTCCCCGAGTCCTCTCCACCTGCCTTTAGTGGATCTTCTCATCAATCCACACGGCATCCCAGGCTATAGGGACAACTGCCCATTGCAGAGACAGGGGCCAAGAGGAGCCAGCAGAGAGTGGCTTACGGAAAAGTTCAAGGTAAGGAGAAAAGTTAGGATTCAAACACAAGATGCCTGGCCCACATCCCCTGCCAGTGACCCCAGGTGACAGGGTGCGGGTGGTGGCTGGGAAGTAGTCAAAGAAGCAGTGTCCAGTTCTCCTTGCTTGAAGGTAACAGCTGGAAGGGCATCTTAGGGACATCGAATATAATCTCTGTTCCAATGATAGGTAAACTTAGGATCAGGGAAGGGATGCATCCTGCTTGTCATCACCAGCACATCTGTGGCAGACCACAAGTCAGTGCTCTTGTCTTTAAGCTCTAGGACCCAACACCAGTGCCATCCAGTGGTTCTGGAGCTGAAGCCTCATAGGAGTGTGTAGAGAGGATGAAACCCACAAAGCAAAGGCCCTAAAGTGATGGAGCCAGAGCCAGCTCCATGCTGACCTCCCCAGGGTGTGACAGTGCATTCTCTCACCTGCAGTGTCAGTGTGATGGTGAGGATCCCAAAGAAGAGGGTCATTAGCCCGAAGCCACCAATAAGGAGGGGTCTCCGTCCCAGGCGCTCAATGACCAGGCCCTAGATCAAAGTGGAG